AATTGAATTCTTTATTAATTTCAATAAATGTCCGAAGCTCTGACATTATTTAAAAAAATATATTTGGCAATTGCAAGTACTGTTCCAGCGCATGTGCTTTACAAATCTTTTAACTTTGTTTCAATTGACCTTTCGTATCTCTCCTAGTGTGTTGTGGTCTAAGTGGGAGGTCTTTAAGTATCTTAGCAGAGTATCATGTTAGAATTCTTTTTTTGTTGTTGTTTTTTTTATAATTTATATATATATATATATGCATTTTATGCAGCGAATTATCCTTTCATTTAGATGCATATATGGTTACTACGCATCGAACTAACCATTTATTTAGTTAGAACTAAACATTTTGATTTCACAGCAAACTAACCTATATTGACACTTGATATATTTGTACTATAGACATTTAGTCCGTTGTGGTTCATTATTCTTGAACAAATCAATGAGTTGTAACAATTGTAGTGTATTACTCAAATAAAATATCATATTGTTAATCATGCGTCATGAATATTTTAAGGTTTATCAAACGTTATTATTCATTTTTTTACCGATTTTTTTTTATTGAATAGACTAGTATTAAACGTTATAATGCTGAATCCTTCTTGATAATTTAGTTTACCTTCTAAATAAATGCTTGCAGTACGTGTTGGTACAACGAAAAATGATCATTGTACAATTTTTAACTCTGTATATTTTTTGTTGAACAACTGTTCCTGTTCGTTTTTAGCTACACTGTTCAGCTCTTATATTGTGTGTTTTAGTTTAACGACATATAGTCCAGATAGGCAAAGAGGGAGCAGCATAAAACTGGTTTCTACCTGTTCCGAGTCATGCTATCTAGACCATGCAGTATTCTGCTGTTGTGTGTTTGTTGTTTTTTTTTTATTCCCCCACCGTAGCGGAGGGGGCATTAAGTTTTACCCTTGTCCGTCTGTAAGTCCGTACGTACGTCCCAAAATTGGTTTCCGTTCTCTAACTTTAGTTTGCCTCAACCAAATGTTATGAAACTTATACACAATGCTTATTACCACACAACACAGATCAATTTTGAATTTTGGTTGCATCACTTTAACTGTTCTAGAGTTATGCCCTTTACAAATGGAAAAATTGCTAATTTTTTTTTTTTGGGGGGGGAGGGGGGGGGGGGGGGGGTGGAGTAGGTTGTGGTGGTTGATGTGGTCTGTTGTTCATTGAAGTATTTCATGTGATTTATGTTATCCTATTTATGTATAATAAGACAAATATATCACAGAAAAACTATAGATTTAACAATATAAACCCAACAGGTATACTAGTTAAGCGAAATGGACGCCACACTAAACTTGTCTTTTTCATTGATTATAGTGAATAATAATAACTAAGTTTTATTTTCTTGTCTAGATATATGCACTTAGTAAAGGGATACATATTTTAAGTAATACATTAAGTAATATCTTAAGCTTGAATTATATATCACACGTCTCCAAAAACAAAAATCGAGGTCAAAATCAAATGACTACCAAAACTCGAAATACACACTGACCATTAACCGTTGAGACAGTAAAAATGTCTTTCATGTTACCGAACATAACAATAGATTATTTAAGTATGAATTAAAGGTGATGTGGGGTATACGCCAATGAGGCAGTAACCCAAAAACAAAAATACATATCATTCAGGATTTTCCAATCAACAAAATCTCCTCACTCACACCCACGTTATGTATTCGAGATACCTACAAAAAAGGGCTAACCTGAATAGATGAGTACAGGTTTTATCAGTTATATACATATGTGACATTATAGTGCGGATTAGTTGTCATGTCAGATGACCAGGATATACAAACACGAATATTAACTATATCAGTAATATTATGTTATTTGATGAATAAGGATAATGTTTAAGATTTAATAACAAACATGGATGAAGTTCAAGATTACTGTAGAACATGTGGATCAAGCTTTTAAGATTACAATAGATATGTTATTAGTGGAAGATTAAACGAAAGATTACATTTTTTTGATTTGATAGGACACTTTATTTGCACTAGTCGTTTACAATATACGTGAAACTTAATTAACAACGATAAAAGTGTGTATCAGTAAAACTCAGAGTACAGGAATATAAAATAATGTCACATGTAGCATCTGTTGATTAATTTTATTGACAACTAGCAAGCAAAATATTATAAGAACCAAGATTACTTTTAACAGAAGTTAATAGGGACATTTCGTGTCTTCCTTCATTAATTCCTAAATTATCAAAATTGGCTTTGCTTGAAAAATAGTTCACTTGTTGTTTCTTTGTTTGCTTCGGGTTTGTTTTTTTTTTAGGAAAAAGGTTACAACATGGAACAACCCGTAATGTTAAATTAACCCTGAGCAACTCATACTTGAGTAAAAGTAGTAATTGTAGACTCTTCTTCAATAGTCTGAAAACTCCACAAGAAAACATTTAATTAAAGAGGTTAACTATACTTACCTTTTTGTATATGTACTCTGCAAACTCAAGTTATAATTATAGATAAAACATATTATATTATGCATTGCAATAAGAGATAGGCACTTTTCAACTTACAAAAAATCTTCTCAAATTATTCAAACGATGGAAGTGATATCTTTGAAATTGCCCGGAAGACTATATTAATATATTAATTATATTTTTGAAGTTTTCTTAATACAAAATCATGACCTATAATTAATCTGACTTTTTGCAACAACCGCAAATTGATATATTTTCATGTAGCGACTATACTTTGGCTGACGATTATAAGGAGACTATTGGGTTCATAGTTGTTCTGCAGTAACATATCAAAGTAAGAAAAGAGTTTATTTCGTTTATACTTTAAGGACCATTTCTGAAATATTTTAGCGGAAAAATCGGAAGAAGATTTATGAAAAAAGAGACAAAGATACAAATCATGATGATATAAAAAAATAAGTCGGAAATAAAACATACAACACCTTGACTAAAAATAAAAACGACGAAACGACAAACAACAGTCTACATACAATTGTAGATCTAAAGACAGTGTAATACGAACTCCAACAAAACCGGTGGGTGATCTCAGGTGCTCCGAAAGGGTTAGCTGATCCTGCTCCACATGTGGCACTGTCGTATAGCTCATGACAAGTACAAATCGAAAAGTCGCATTTTGTGATGTCACAATCGAGGTGAAGAGGACTACACAGAAATGGAATGTTTACGATTGGAAAGCTGAAATCATTTCTTTTGTCGTAAAGTTTAGTTGTAAACCGACCCACAGTGATGTAAGTATAAGGATATGGCGCAGAACAGTAGGTTCTATCAAGTTCGATATGATAGATGCGTTCAACATGTTCACAAAACTTTGAATTATTTAGTGAGAAAACATAATTTACATGTATATAGCGGTTAACGTTAAGTTAAATGATAATGCTAACTTCTTTTCGTTCTTTGCAAAATACATGCATATGTTATACCCTCTCCTAACATTCTGAAATTTGAAAGGATATGTCACAGCATTCTCAAATAAAAATATTATGTTGTCAAAAACATTAATTTTCAATCATATCTTGGATATTTAGAAGTCAGATAGGATTTTTAAAAATTCTACGTTTTAATTGCCCTTATGTAAGCCTTGTATGTATAGCAGTCTGAGTTCGTAGAGTAAATATTAGGGGGTTTGTGGTCTTTTCTACGGTATTGTTGTATAAGTTGTAGGTAAACTAAGAACCATCCAACCTCTGAACTTTAAAAATATATCAATACAACTTTAATCTTAAACTATGTTCTTTAAATCATTGATTCTTAAGTTTAGCTCCTGATTGTTTCAATGCTGTTATTTTAGAAGTACCGTAGCTTTCTTCACTGTTTGGTATAAAAGTATTATGCTTGGAATAAATATATTTTAGTTACCGTTAACTTTGGAGACAAATGTGTAAATTGGCCAAAGAAAAACCCTAATTTTATGCACCATTCCAAATTATCTTGGAATCTTTGAGAAAAAGGTTTCTCACAATTTTCCTTTAAAACAAATAAACAGCTTTATATATATAATCATCCTAATACGGGAAGTTGTTGGTTAATATTTTCCATCTAAAAATCTTTTTATAATATCAGATATGTCTCTCTATGATGACAACGGTGACGCTGAATCTCAAACTAATTAAAATATAGATCTCTGATTTCGTTATACTCGTAAGACGAGTACATGAGTTAACAATAGATCTGAATTTTCATCAGATTGGCTGAATCTAAAATCTAAGAATGTGAAACCTTTTTATCGTTTCATTTTAATGTTAATTTGTATAAACTGCCAATTACAGACAAGCACAGCTATTCCAGACGCAAAGCTAGGTATTTTTTACTGAATCTGGCACAAAAGAATATCTTTTATAAATTTTGAAGGACTGGAAATTCAAGACCGAAAGCTAGGCTAAACAAGCATACATTTATGTATTCTGAACCGAATCCGTACCTAAAAAAAATATCTGTATTTTCTACGAATGAGTGTTGTGTTAGTATTTGAGGATGGTCTTCATACGTGAAAAGTGTCCGTAGTTCCCGTGTACTAGAGCTTTTATAAGCTCTGGGTTATCGATCTTAGATTTTATTATAAAGTTTATATAAAAACGTTGCTGGTTATAGTATACAGAGGAAAAAAGGTCCCAACCCATCATTGAATTGGGAAAAAAATCATTTAATATAAATTTTTATGTCATGTTTTATAAATATTCATTTTAAAAGCTTTTTGAAATTGATTAGTAATACGGGCTTAATAGTGTTTGTCTCGACATTTAACTTCACCTCGTGACAAATACAAAAGCAATACACAAAAATATATTTCTCACTTTTGTTTTAGTAATGTTTAAACTATAAATCTATATGATCGTTGGTCTTTTTAATTGGCAGGTTAAACTCGCGGATTTAAAGTTCAGAACAGTTTAATCTCTTACTGATCATAATAAAACTAATGTTGCGATTGACCAGACACATTTCGTTTAAACCACCCGAAGTATCTAAATACTGAAATTGGAGAATTGTTCGCTTTCTTTTGTTTTACGCCAAAAATTATGGAAATGAGACACTTGAAACAAAGAAAAGTGCCTTGGCGACATACAGTAATAAACCACCATTTTCCTTTTAAAGTTTTTGTGAAATAATAAAACGGAATATTGTTTTTTTCTTATAAAAGGAACATTTTCGCAGAAATCTTACGGAGACAGGTGTGATAAAATGTAACAAAATGACGATTAATCATAGTAATATTACAAGTTTTGTGTTTTTATCAAGGATATATCGATAAAGTTGTGAATAATTACCATTTAGTGATAAGTGTATTTTTTTATTTTGTGTTTTTTTCTCTCTCTCGATAAACAATGACGGGAAAGATTCTAAATCCCCGTTCATCGACTCCTAAAGGACCAACGTCCAGACTTCTACCACAAGTGCCAAAATTTTCAGTAAAGGAGCCTCCACTGTCAAAACAATCACGGATTCTGCCACCAGTTCCGCCTCCAAGAGATGGATCGAATGTAACAAACAAAATCCGATCTCTACCTCGTGTACCAAGACCAATACAGGCTCCATTGACTGGGCAGCAGGATACAAACAACTTCGATAAAAATCCAGCCATTCCGATTGTTCCTAAGCATCCGAGACAGCTTCCGAAGATACCTGTTGTAAAATCTAACCAAAAACCAGATCATGACAGAAGAGGCCATATGTTTGCAGTATATAAACGTGATGCGGACGAATATTTACGGAAGAAGGAATATGACAAGGCTTTAGATGCTTACACATCGGTCAGTATCAGTTACAACTCTTAATTTAACAGCATATCTGAATATTCAAATAGATAGATATAAGAAGATGTTTTTTTTCTTCATTAAATTTAACGCATCGTCTTTTATACAATAAGGTAATAAATCTGGTATAATTATTTTTGGAAAAGTATGCTTACTACATAAATACATTTTTGTTTTCATATATAAACTTTTTTTGGTATGTGTAAAGACCGAATAAAGTAGATATAATTCATTTGGGTTTTTTTCTGCAGTATGACTGGAGCAGCTTTTGTCAATAAATAAATAAACAAAGATAGATGATCATGAATATAAATTTTTAGCAATTAAATTTTAAAAACGAAATTATATCCTCAATTTTTACAGAATCAAGATTACAAATGTACGAATAGATATCGATGCAAAAGTCAAGTACTAACTAGAGACTGATTTCACAAAAAAATCATAAAAAATACTCGTAAGTCATGAACATTTCAGTATAACTTACGATCAATTTTTGTCATAAGAGTTTTTGTGAAAAGAGCCCCTAGATCTTGTATTTGCTTTAGAGGATAGATAATAGCTAGTCCACAATGTTATAAATTAAAGTGGGTCAGTGTCCATTTCCGTATTTACCACAAAATGCCATAAATGTAGATATAATATACAGTAAAACCATAAAATCGAACCTAAGAGATATCTTTCTTCAAAGTCAGATTTATGCAGATAACAAACTTTTATTACAAGTGAGATAAAATTACGTCATAATGACGTTTTTGTTTGTTCAAGCTGTTGAATCATGACTGTGTTTGAATCGATTCTTGTATCTTTATTGACGACATTAATTTAACAAACAAACTGACTAAGAGTGTTTATCACCTATTCACTTCTTATATAACTTTGAAACTCTGATTTCTCATTACCAACGAGGGTATGTGAAAATAAACAAACAATTATCATGTTAATTAAATGGTAAATGGGAAGAAAATAAAAGCGAAAGGAAATATTTTGGGTCATCAACGCGTCAGTTGAGTAAATCAAAAATATTACTGTAAATTTTCTATTGTATAAACATGTTCTGCTGACTGTAATGATTGTTATATACAAACTGAAAACAAAGAAAAGTAAATTCCTCTCTTTGATTACTCGTTTATTTTAAGACCTCCAGATGTGGATTTAGGAGTGCCAGGGGGCCGGGCCCCCTTAAGGAGCTACATATATGGTTATTGCATAGACTTTATACAAGTTCCACTCCAAACGTTGTCTTTCAGTCCCCTTTCAAAAACCTAGATCCGCGCTTGTTCGCTGCCAACCTTTACTTTCGATTTCTAGGCGTGAGTCAACGTATAAAGCAGACGTAGCTGTAATTCTAATATCCTATTTTACGAATAGATGCCATCAACATATATTCACTAAACTGTATTTTTCAATGATAGGAAATCAACTTTAAATCAGAGAATTAAATTAAAAGTCTTCTTTTTATTTCACTATTAATAGGCCAAAGGATAAATTAGTTTTGTTGTCTTAGCCTCAATTAGTTATATTAAAATAGAGAATGGAAATGGGGAATGTGTCAAAGAGACAACAACCCGACCAAAGAGTAAAAAACACAGCCGAAGGCCACCAATGGGTCTTCAACACAGCGAGAAAATCCCGCACCCGGAGGCGGACTTCGGCTGGCCCCGAAACAAAAATGTGTACTAGTTCCGTGAAAATGGACGTCATATTAGTTTGTTTGTTTTTTATTATTTCATATGCTTATCCGGAGAGCTTGCTAATTTCCAAATTGAACAAGGCGTTTTGTGCAACCACAATACTCATCAGTGTCGATAACAAGCAAAATAACTATAACCGCATGTGTATTCAAAATCATTGAGTCGTCTATGTACGCCAATAGAAAAATTCATGAAAACGCTGACGCTTGTTTGTTTTTCAACTGAGATTTATTTAATCTCAAATCGACAAAAATTTAATGTAAATACAATTGATTCTATTGACACTTTTAATGCAAACATTCTGATACGTTTTTAAACCTCTATTTCTAAAACTAATAGGAATTCCTACTTGATGAAGTGCCTACACACATTATTATATTGTTTGTCAAAACAATTATAGTTCTTGTTCATCGATTTAATTTTATCACTTGTTTAAATAATTATTGTATAGAATAATTAAAAGTTGTGAAAAATAATTAACAGTTTATAGATTACGTGTATATTGTTTATCAACGCATTACTTTGTTGCGTAAGGCTTCGTATTTCTGTAAGTAATTCAAAGACATTATATTCCTTATCTAAACATAACTTTGTAAGATATATATTGAAAGACAATATTTACAAAATACGTTAATTCTAGACAATTCGAAGGTGAATTTGATTCATTTTAGTTTTCTATGTTGCTCACTACATTCATCAACATGACGGCCTCGGTGGTCTTTTGGTAGCGTGTTCGCCTCGAGTGCTGGAGGGCGTGGATCCGTGCCAACCAAAGGCTTTAAAATATGTGTTTGCTGCTTCTCCGCTAAGCATGCGTCTTAAAGGAGTAAGCGCAAAGACTGGTCGGCTCGGATTAATGTGTCCGTGCAGGGTGACATATCTCCTGCGGACTGCAACCTTGTGAACTATTTCGTTCAAAATTCGACTCTGCGTGTCGGTCTAGTACAAAACAAGGTTAATATTCATATTACATTAACATGTTCTCGTCCTAAATATGCAATTAATTCCCCGCTTGACGTTATACATCCATCCATCATCATCATCTTCAATATAAAGATGATAAGCATTGACAAGGCAAAACTATACTAGAGTTTGTCTACAAATTGAAAACTCAAATATTCGATGTTTTCAGATTAATAGTGAAAATGTATCGAGTGCAATTTCATTACTCGAAGAGTTTATTTGTACTTATTTATCTAGCTATTTATCAGAATAACCAATTGTTTGTTTAATTTACTGGACACGAATATTTTAAATCTAAAATTAAATTATTGATAACACGTATGTCGGACATACTTCTCATTCATGTTCATGTAGAGATGGATTATTCTTTGTTTTATGAAATTTTGAATATTGCCAAAAAACATTCATTCAAATCTGTTAATGAATAAAAGAGATTTTACCACGTCCTTGACATTGAAAGTTGTTTATCGCAGCGCCCTCTGCTCACCAGAAAACATTAATTTAGCAGAAGTCACATTGTTGATTTCAACTAATCCATTCGTTTTAAAAAGGTTTTTTTTTCTCCGGTAATTCCAATTCATCGAAGGATATGATTGCTCAAATCATTTTTGTTCATTATTTTGCTACCATCTGTCCAGAAATTTGAGTTGACATGATTTTGTGTTCCGTTTTTTTAGTAATGCCAACTGAATTGGGTCGCTTGGACATTTAACAGTGAATATTTTTGCTAAGTTGATCGTCTTAAATAGGCCTGAAATATTGGTCACTGTAAGTAAACTTTTGGTCTTTATATACCATACATTTACAGTATTATTTTTAAGTCAGGTCACGATAATACATCTATTTTAACGTTTCTGTCTTGTATTTAGTCTGGATGCCTAATGCAAGATAAATTGAAACCTAATATCATATATTATATAATCAAAGGTGTCATAGATAAAATATTAAAAATGAGACCATCAAATTAACTTTTTGAATTAGTAGCTCTCCTCGACCAAAAATCGGTACACAGACAGCCGCTCAATTGTTCGCACCGACGTGCATATTCGTAATAAGTACAGTCGGTTAAGTTCCAAGTAGATGCCCTAGAAGTCCTTTAATAATAACAAGGATAAAAAAAAACGGTTGCTGAGTCAATTTTCGTCGAGACATAGTGTTTGCAAATTTTGATTTTTTTTAATGCATTATGATGAGTAACAGATCCAATGTTCAGATTGTCTGGTTGACCGACTTTTTTGGGGGAAAACACGCCGACGTGACACTATTTTCATGAAAATTGAACGCGTTCATCGATGGCCGTAAAGTTTGAGGTTTGCCGATGGCCAAAGACTATGAATTGAGCTGCTTTTATTACTGTCTGTTAAGGGCTACGTCAGTTTAAGCATAGTTTCGTTTTGAATGACCTAGTGCTGAAAGTTCAGGGGTCGAAAATAACAGTTAAGAGTTATAATAATAATAATAATAAGTTCGTATTTGAGTTGAGTCGAGCTGAAAAACAAATTTCTACTCAATGATTCTCATTCGGTAGATAAATTAATTTTGATATCAATATTTTATGATTGACGGTATGTTGTGTACAGATGATATATAATACAAGTCTGCGAGCGATCTTATTGCACACAATAATGCATTTTAAGAATTTCATTAACGGTACAACGACTTATCATAAGAGGTGAAAATATAAAAATACGACCTGTTCCAAATTTTGTCGTTTCGCCGAGGTACGCAATTTATACATTCACGAAAACAACCCAAATCAGATAAAAATGACAGCTTTGCAAATTTGACAAAGCTTTAATCGTTTTTCAATAGATGTGCATACATGCAAAAAATTCATTAGAATTCGTCAATAAAAAAAAACGTCACCGCTTTATTAAAACAATAGAATGAAATTCTAGCACTACACATACAATTATAATATATTAATTGGGTTTATGAATATCGCAGCGAATTCGTAAAATGAAATTTAACAGGAAATGGTAGAAACAAATACACAACTTTTTAGGAGCAACATCTATATTGATATAGCAAATTGAGGATCTCTTGTGGCAAACTAAATTTTCTTTAATGGACTAATTAAACAATTAACCAAATTGAAATGGTACAACGCAGTACTTCTCGCTACACATGTAATTTATTCCACAATCAGTGACCAGCACTGTCTCAGATATAATTCAACATCTACGATAGTTTTTATTTCAAATGTGACGCGTACACACTAAACTAGTGGTTTTCTATAAAATATTATACACCAACAATTACCAAATTACCCATTAGATCTTCTTATAACTTCAGACAGAAGAAGGAGAAATACACATATATATACCTACCATTAAAAACAACTTAAAACCAATAAGAACTAATATACAATGTAAATTTCTATTTAACTACAAACTATAGCGCAATGGAACTTGCTACCAAGATTATCAGTCCTTTGTACAACCGTTTACAGCTTCAAAGAACAGATGTTTATTACAAAAATTGCAAAACATACAGTTTTTTATAGCTGACTACACGGTATGGGGTTTTCTCATTGTTGAAGGCCGTATATTATGGTTACTTATAATTGATATATATCCACTTCATTTGAACTCTGGTGGATAGTTTTCTCATAAGCAATCATATCACACCTCCTTATTCTTATAATGACTGAAAATATGTTAACATGAAAATAAGAATGTGGTATGATTGACAATGAGATAACTCTCCACCAGAAACCAAATGACATTTAAGTTAACAACTATAGGTCACAGCATTAAAGATTCGCGATACAGCTACTTTGAGGAAACATTGATTCATAAATCTCGCACATTTATTTCATGTCAACTCACCCATGATGTCCTCAATCCTTCATTTGAGATACGAGTAGAGTTGCATTGACAGTATAAACAAACTCCATAGATGTTTTATGTAAATAACGAGGATCATTCATTAATTGATATTTATTCCAGGCTTTAAAGTTAGTTCCTGATGAAATGTCAACGCTAGTAGCTAAATCCAGATGTCATCAACTAATGGGAAAACGAAAGAAAGCGATGCAAGATGTAGAAACGGCACTAAGCTTAGGGCCCCTGTTTCACGAGGTATGTATACATTGCTCATAATGATTATGTTTTAGGAAATTTCTGCGGTTTTGGCACATTTTGGCCATATGTGGAGCAGGATCTGCTTACCCTTCCGAAGCACCTGAGATCGGCCTCGGGTTTCGTTGGGATTCGTGTTGCTCAGTCTTTAGTTTTTTTATGTTGTGTTTTGTGAACTGTTGTTTGACTTTTCGTCGTTTTTGATTTTTTGCCATGGCATTGTCAGTTTGTGTTAGTGATAGTCCTTTTTATATAATAATTATAGCGATGAATTTATGGGTTACAGCTACACACCATCTTGGAATCTGAATAACAAAAGTGACAGAGTCTCTTAAGTTTATAATCTTAAAACTTGATTTCTTGGTCATTACGCTATATCCACAATGATAGCATAGCACACAAAAACGATGCACCCCATTATGACACTTAATTTGAATCTTCGTAGTATCCGGTCTTAAGAATTACTGGTTTGGCTTGGACTATAGTGCAATCTGACAGATACCAAATGCGGATGAGGATATTATTAGTTTGCACTTTGCAAGTTTTAGTTACATGTAATTTTTGTTTATCTGCGATAAGTTGTGACTGAGCTCATCTTTGTTCTTTATGGGGTTAATTTAGTCCTGTATTGTCGTATTGATTTTATACATATGTGTTTTTCTAGCGACATCACAGTCCTTTTAAGTCTCCAATTATGCATCAATTTATTTATAAAAGTATAATGTGCTTATATGTAATGATATACATGTATCTGAAATGTTTTGAAATTGGCATACATGTAAGCTGCAGTTGCAACTTGATACACGCATTACCGTGATCTCTATTGTTAATATTTCATATTCATATAAGCTATATTTTTGGCTCTTAATATATATAATGTTTTGTTGTATTGCCATTATGACTTAGTCATTAGTCATGCGGTAAACAGTAACGTCTTTTGTTGATTTTAAAGGGATAAACTGTTAAATGATTGGATTATTTTGTTGTATATTTCATTGTAATGTTATTTTATTGTTTGTTTAATTACACGAAAGTGTTATATATGCTAATCCTAATGAGATTAAAAAAACAACATTGCATATAGCTTTGCGGAACTACTCTGTAACAATTAAGCAAGTTCAGTACCCTAGTGTCTTTTTTGTTTATGCCCCAGAAATAAAATAAACATTGGCATGTTATATATGTTGGATTATAACGGCTTTGGATTATTAATAAATATAAGCCATGTTTCGTTGTGAAAATAAATCAAAATTGTTGCTTGATAACGAACCCTTTGGCGGAAATAGTCTCTGCAAAACAAATGCATACTTTAGGTAATCAGTGCATGTGATTCATAAGCTCATAACAACCAAATTTACACTTTAATGCAACTGAATCAAATCGATATAAATAGAAACGGATAAAGGAAACAGTCACATGTAAAACTACAAACAAAGCTTGATAAAAGACATTCTTATTATAGAAAAAGGATTCTGCGCGACACCAATACTCATACTTAATACGTTAAAGGCCATGCGCGACGCGTCACCTGGGTAAAACTGATGATAAAGTTGGCCTTTTAAATTCGAAAATTAAAAAGTATTACAAATCTATCAACATTCCCAAAATATAAACAAATATCAGTATGTCAGATAATAGTATTGATATTTGGAATAAAACATAAAAAGTGGATAGCAGGAATAGCATAAAATTAGCAATAGCAGAACACAGACTACATCAAGAACCAACACCCGACCCCCCCCCCCCCCCTCCCCCCCTTAAAACCTGGACATACGAACAAAGACAAACAACAACGAAAAACACATGGTTCAGATAACCTGACTTGTCCCTTTGGTATCTTTCGCCTCTCTTTGGTATAGGCACAACATGTGGTGGGGTTTTAAAACCCTTTTTACGTACATACCATATGTCCTTAAAATAAAACACGCAATAAAAGAACCTCTCACAATGCCGCTAACAACAGAATGACGACAAATTCAAACAAGAACATAAAAAAAACGGCACCTAATTTGAAAGAGAGGCGAAAGATACCAAAGTGATATTCAAACTCAAAAGTCGAAAATAAACTGACAACTCCATGGCGAAAGGAGAAAAGGACCAAAATACAAACAACAGTATACAAAACACAACATAGAAAACTAAAGACTGAGCAACACGAACCTCACCAAAAACCGGGGATGATCTCAGGTGCTCCGGAAGGGTAAGCAGATCCTACTCCACATGTGGCACCTACGTGTTGCTCATGTAACTAAAGAACAAATCCGGTAATAAGTCCCGTAGGTCACATTCTGGGAAAAGAGGACGGGATTGTGGTTAGAAAGCAGGGTCAAAATGTGATTGCTACTATAGGAAGATAGCGAAGGTAGCTACAGCTGTTTGACCAGAAAACTTGTCGAGATATTTGATCTGACTCTGATATCTAGTGTCCTCACAAGATGTGAATATTATAGATTTAAACAATAGTAAGATGACTGTTTCTTACAATGTTCAATGGTATCTAAAAACTGCCAAAGACTGCAACTGGAAAAAGAGAAAATAGTGGATAGGCGGTAATCTATTTAATAACAATAACTAGATGCCAAATTTTTTTTAATTACAGGCACTTTTCCAGAAAGCTGAATTACTTTTCATTGACGGAGAGTATGATACGGCATTGGTCTATTATAATAAAGGAAATAAACAAAGACCAGATATCCAAGCATTCCAAGATGGTATCTTTAAAAGTCAAGATGCATTAAACAAGCATGGTTCAGGTACGTTTAATTGACCATATTCATATTGACCATCGTGTTGTTTTTTATTGAATTGCTATATGATAAATTTTCATAAGATATGAAATTCCATGGTATCATTTAAATAGTTAAAAAAAAACGTAAATTCAGAAGGGCAAAAACACATTGTTACACAATTTTGTTCATGTAAGTAATGGAACTTTCACTCAAAAGCGTAGTTTAGTGTGATTGTTTATATCATGATATATATCTTCATTTACAGCAAAAACAAAGAAGAAATCGAATGTGCCAACAGAAAGTCATGGAAATCCAACAAAAAGGGTAAATCTTTTAGCATTAGACAACATAAACAGTAAAAACACTTTTTTTAACCAGAAAATACATCAGGTATTTTAAGCGTAATAAACCAATGGTTGTTCATTTTAAATATTTCATTAATACATGGTAACTTTAATCTATCCTGAAGACGTTCATTTTTTTATTATTGCAAATATGTTAAATTTTAATGAGGGATATTCAACCAACTTCCCATTATAGAGGCCTTTGAATCTTTCAGCTGTTGTGGAACTTTTCCGAGAGGCTACTTAAATTTCTTTTTTTTCTATAAGATAAAGTCCTTATTGCCAATGATATACGTAGCAGTATGTTCTATACAATTGTTTATACACCTAAGCTGCAAATATTTAGTAACATAAATTATTGAAGATCTCTTCATTATCTATATGGAGAACCATAACTTACTCATTTTGAACTCTTTTTTTATATAAAAATACTTACGTCGATCGACATACATAGTTTAAACAAAGTTGATAATTTGATGGCAGTGTGGTTTTTTTTTTGCTTATAGAAAAGAGACGTCCAACCTCAGTTGAAGAAGAAGTTAAATACATCGAAAGAGAGTACAGCTCCTCCCAGGAATATGGGAACACCAACTACTCGTAACGTCAGGAACAATACTTATACAAGTAATACACCAGAGAGCAAAACATCAACTCCTAGAAATGTTCCAACTCCTAGCTTTCGACATCGTCAGGCTAACCCATTGCTAAGGATGGAACACCTCAAAGGATCTATGGAATCGCTGTCGAAACCTTCTGTAGCTTCCGGTTCCGAAAAGGAAACGAATGACGGAGAGATTACAGAAAGAAGAATGAAACAACTGTTGGGTAGAATGTATAATGACAAACAATATTTAGAAAGACTTGTTGAACAGGCTGGTAAGTAATAATGAAAATACGAATTGTAGCCCATGTGTAAATATATTTATATTTAAGAATTGAATGCTTCTTTTTTAAATTTATTGGTGTGGAAAAACGTTGACAGAAGCACATTTTGTAAGAAGAGCTTCATACTAAAAATGTGCGCATCATCAACGCTTTTACAACCCTATGAAATTACAAAAAGAAGCATTCAATTTTTATAATTACATGTTAATGCAACAACCGTGAAATTATGAGTTATATCAATTTTTTCATTTATTTTCCTATGTATTGTTGTGACGTTGTCATGAATGCTGCATTTTATTGAAAATGAAATCTGATTTTAGAATGCCTTCCTATTGTTGTCAGCCAGTCAAAAGTCTGAATTCTTATGAAACATACATGTACATGTGTTTTATAGCGTTGGATTAATTTTGATGGACTGTGCATGGTCATGCTTACTGTCTCGTTCTAACAAAATAGAAGTGCTTTTACTTTTGTTGTAAATCATTTCAACAGTCGTTTGTGACTTTCCATACTAACACATGGCGTTATTTGCATCAACATCAGAATAAGGTAATATATTCACGGCTTTAATTCTAAGCAAATGTCTTATTCCATGTAGCATCTTATTCCATGTAGCATCTTGATACAACTCATGAAAGACACTATCTTGTTGTTGACTGATTATTGTTTACCAAAATAACATCAAGTTTAACATATTAAATACATATAGACGTTTGTTGGTGTGATTCATAAGTGTTTCTCGTTTCTCGTTTTTTCATATAGATTAGACCGTTGGTTGTCCTATTTGAATTGTTTTACACTAATCATTTTGGGGCCCTGTATAGCTTGCCGTTCGGTGTGAGCCAAGGCTCCGTGTTGAAGACCGTACGTTGACCTATTATTGTTAACTTTTATACATTGTGACTTGGATGGAGAGTTGTCTCATTGGCACTCATACCACATTTTCTTATTTATATGTAATAATTACAGAATTTAATTATATGCTTTTCATTCATAATCTTCGTATTTTGTTTTAGGAGAACTCCCTTCTGGATCAATCAGTTTGTCAAACATGGCAGAAAATGGTTTAAATTTCCTCTATGACCGTGTGCTTTATTGGGTACGTCAAGGCCGTATATTACCACCAGAAGCCCCAATTTTACCACCACCACCTCAACCAAAACCTTCCAAACTACTGGATAAAAGGACATCACCACGATCAGATACAAGCAGTGGTTCTAGACCTAGTGTTGATGCAAAATCATCAAAGTCGGACACAAAAAGGTCTGAAATTGGTGTTAAACAACCTGCTTCGTGGTTCAGATACTTGGAACAAAAGAAAGTTGCTAAAGTCTCAAATAGAAAGACAAATAACCAGGGTAGGTTTCTAACAGTGTTAGAAGGACAGAAAATGGAATTAATAGAAAACAATGAGAACAAGAAATCTCTCAGTCCATTACGGCCTACGCCACCAAAAACCGAAAAGCCGTCTGTGAGACGAGCAAGAAAACGTAAAGGTGCACGGTCAAGTGATAAAGAGAATTCCGATACGGATTCAGGATTAAATATAAGTTTTACAACATACAGAGGAAACAGTGACTATGGTGAAAATCACATGTCGTTTGAAGAAATTGAACCAATAAAAGAGGAATCGCCATCTCCAAGGAAAATGTCATCCAAAAGGCTCGTGAAATACATGAAAAAAGACAAGAAAGAAAAGCAGGCACAACGTCGACAACAGATGATACATTTCGTGAATAAGGAAATTGAAGACATTGAAATTGGTAAGTTTAAAAATAAAATATAAATGATTTGTTTTAATTGTTATAATAATGACTACTTTTCAATACAAAGAATGGAGTTAAAAATAGTAAAACTCATAAACAATATCAGACTAAGATATAATTTGTTACGCAGTCCGACCCGCGTTTTGTCCACAAAACATTCAGCAGTGGCACTCGAAGCAAAACAATTGGAAGGCCAAATCAACTACGAAGTTGAAGAGCATAGAAAATACGTAAAAAATGTGCCAAATACGGCTAAAGCCATTTACACCTGGGGTAGAACATCCTTATAATTAGTTTTTGTATGAACAGAACATTAAAATAGTAAGAGAAAGCCTATTAGAAGAAAGATGGATATGAAGACATATCAATGTTTATTTACGGATTTGAAAATTGTATCAGTCTGTAGTAAGTAAAAATAAAAAAAATGTGTTATAAATCAAATATTATTTAAAACTGAAAACTACAAAAAAATATGTTTTGTAGCATATGTAGATGCCAGATACATAGACTGTTCCCAGAGAGCTGAAGCATGTTTACAGACCATTACAACCTTTGATGGTGAACCTCTTCCGAACGTTATGTCAATGGTTGGTAAACTCCATAGCTACATCGGAAACTCTGCTATCGAAAACAAAGAGTTTGAAATGGCCTTACGTCATCACGAACGAGATCTACAACTAGGTGAAGAAAGGTGTGTATTTTCTGCAGATTAAGTCTCATCTGATATATGTTTGTACAATATTTACTTATAAATCTTACACTATTTACTTATAAATAGAGCAATATTTACTTACAAATAGTGTAATATCCAGACATGTTAAGCACCCAGTGTATTTGATATGTATTTGCAACATGTCGCATACCTTAGTGCATTAAAGTGTCTGCCTTCGTGTATTGAATAAGCAAAGGTTTCACTATTCTTTCAATTGGCCACATGAATCAGATTGAATTTACATTTTAAAATTATATGACTCTCGAAAACATTTAATGACAGAGGAGCTAGACATTTTACCGGCTAATCATGAGCAATCGTTTTCAACAAATCGCGAATTTTACACCATGTGCATGTCAGCAGTGTCTGCTTACCCTTCCGGAGCACATGATATCACTGCGGGGTTTTGGTGGTGTTTGTGTTGCTCAGTCTTTAGTTTTCCATGTTGTGTTTTGTGTACTGTTGTTTGTCTGTTTGTCGTTTTTCATTTTTTGCCATGGCATTATCAGTTTTTGTTTTCGACTTATGAGTTTGAATATCCCTTTATAATCTTTCGCTTTCTTCATCAAAATGGAAAGTATCACTAGTCAAAACTGATTGTATTCTATACTATTTTACGTACACGAAAATCGTACATATCAGTTTTCTGCATCAGAAATTCTCATTTGAATTAAATAGCTTTGCTTTTGATTACATTTCCTACCTGATAGATATGGACGAGACAAATTAAAGCCGTATCGAAACAGAGTTACAAGATTAAAAAGCGAACAACTTTGAGACGGACGATATGAAATTCCTCTCCCATTTAAAACTAGAAGTAATATTTTTTTAAACCCATTTCATCCACAACTCCCAGATATAAGATTGAAAATTTCAATGACGTATAAACTGAAGTCACTACCTCCAATGTCAAGCTTTCCTAGGAGTTTCAATCTGCATTAAATAACAACTACATATTTAACAAAATGTATGTATGTGTTAAGTAATACCCTTACAAATAGCAGCCTCACAACAAAAAGTAACATGAGAAATTAGCCAAATTCGTAAAGACAGCATAAACAGAAGGAGTAAGAACCTTTATTGTGCAAAAATAACACAACTTTTTTTCAACTCAGAATTACGATTTTGAAACCCTATACTATTATCTTCGAAGTTACATGATGAAGTCTATCCCATAAACATGTTTCATGCTCAAACGTATCAAAAGTTGAAAATATAAAAATGTCATATACGTTAAGGATCATTCAAGTACTGAAGTACTCAGAACTGTGTGTGTGTGTGTGTGTGTGTGATACTTTCATTGACTAAGAGTCCAGCAATGGCAATTAAACCAATCTCATCATATGTAGTAAAACTAATTCAGAAATGAGTTTGAAATAATAATGTAATGTCTTTCTGTTCCAGTGACGACACAGAAATGGTTTCAAGAGCCCTTGGAAACCTAGGAAGAGTTTATGTTTCGCAAGGAAAACATCAAAATGCTTTAGAGCTGTAAGCTTTAGCGCCGATATAAAATTATAACAATCCACTGTTGATCTCAATATTTAAAAGATTATTTCAGATAAAATGTCATATAATAGAAACACAAAGGATATGGGGTTTTCATCCATGACACAACATCAGTACATACACAGCAAAAACACACACAAAAAGCAAAGGAACAGCGTTTGTATTGCTGTTCTTCATCTCAAAGTCACAGTGATGCCTTCAACACGGAGCAACAAATCTATCACCTCACTGCAAGTTTAGGACGGCCGCTAGAACCGGTTTGAGAGGAATTCTCTGCAAAATAATTCGGATAGACTTTGTAAGATGTAACATCACCACATATAAAATTCTAAAAGTACATATATTTGATGAAAACCTCTTAGTAAAGTTTCAAACTGAAGTGCATAATGTCTTTCTTTATTTTCTGGATCAATTTTTTATATTTTTGTTTATGTTCTAAGTTCTATTTAAGTTTGTGCATAATCCTTTTCGTTTAAATTTTGTTCTTTGTCAATGTTGTCAATTCTTGATAAGGGACATTAAAAAAAAGAATACAACGATACATGCTTAGTATACATATATGTCCTTTTAAAGATATACTAGAAATATATTATTATTATTTTTTTAAGATTTCGTTTACTGAACCAAATGAACAATACCTTATTGGCTGTGTTTTAATAATTAGAAATACATGTATATTTATAGAACATAATCAAGAACAATATTCTATTTTGAAAAATAATACATTTTTAGATTTTCCCGAAAAGTTCCATATTGTGCTACACGATTGGAAACAGCCTGGTTATATCATGAGATTGGCAACTGTTTCTTGATCCTTCAACAGTTTGAATTTGCACGTGAAGCGGCACGGCGTTCCTTAGAGGCAGCAGAGGAAGCTGTAGAATGGAGTTACCAGTTACAGTCTAGTGTTCTGTTGGGAGTTGCAGAAGGTAAGAAAAACTGTCAGTTCCAGAGTTCAAGTGGGGTGTTAAATTAAAATTTTTCAGCTTCAGTTGTGTCGATTTCTGTTGACTCCGACATATTTAGAAAACTACTGCAAAGGGGTCAGGATTTCCGGAGGGAAATGTTTCCATAATTCTTGCACAATTCCCAAAGGGTATGAATCAATAACGGCAACAAGACGACATACAAGTTGGTTTAGTAGCGAGTCTGCTGCATTTTGTGACAAAAACAGTTTTTTTTATTTTTCTAAATTATTTTTTTAACGAGGCAACCGAGGCAACTGCTGCCTCAACGTAAGCTACGCCAATGTTGACAGCACTACTATGCTATTTCGTGGTGGTCAGTTTTTATTGGTGGAGGAAGTCGGAGTGCCCGGAGAGAACCATAGATCTTCGGTCGGAAAACTGACAATCCTAGTCTATTAAGATGGTAGTCGAGCGTAACTTCCACGTTAGGGAGTCGAACACACAACCTCAGTGTTGACAGGCTAATGATACAGTAGTTCGACTACTTAGACCACTCGGCCACCGAGGCCCCCGGGTTTTCTTATGAGTTTTATAGAATATTATAAGATAAGATAAGATAAGATATTTTTATTTCCAATTATGGGCCCCAAAGGGCATAAACATTACAACATCAATAATTTTTCATAATACAGTACAAACAATGAGATAAAAAAAAAAAGAAGTTAAACGAGAACTATTTAAGTTCTTAAAGAATACGTAGATAAAGAATCTATAGTATGTTTTTTTTTTTTAATACTAATGCATTTTATTGCAAGTGTGGTTGATATAGATAACAAACAAGCAGCCCAAAAAGAAAAAAAGAAAAATAGATATCCACATATGTATAGTACACAAAAAGTTGGATCAATTAAATATATAATAATTAGCCAAAAAGAAAGTAGAAATTAAGCATGTCCATGACTCATCCTGTGTCAGCAGCAAATAGGAAAGCATTATGGTTTCCTAAAGGCAGCTGACACCAGGGGGCGATACCTTATGGGCCATAGGCATGTAAAATGTGTGTAAATGTCTCTTTCCTACCTGTATCAAAAACAAACAAGGAAGCATCATAGGTAACTTGAATGCAGTTGATACCAGGGGACGATGCCTCAAGGATATAAGAGAACATTTGAATAAATAATATATCTTAACAATTATTATTTTTTTTTTTAATCGGCTAGTATGTTTGTGATATTCAGATGAATATAATTTTCTATGTCCAATCAAATGTATATACACACATAGATTTCCTTTAACTAATCTTCACTAAGGAAGATGTTTGTATATAAAATTACATATTATTTTAAGTAACTCAACATTTTCTACATTAAATAACCAGATAATTTTGCTTTGACTGCTCATATGATTAAAATAAGAATTATATTTTGCAATACTAGCTAACATACAATTTCTATCATCCTCAAATTTGTTACAATCAAATAGAAAATGAGCCTCATCTTCGACAGTATTGGAAGAACATTTATTACATATTCTGTTAATTCGGGGAATACCCTGATATCTACCTAATTCTATTTGTAATCTATGAGAAGATACACGTAATTTAGTAAAACTTCTTCTAAGTTCAAAATTCTTGATCAATGGTAGATATTTTTCAAAACCAAAATTTGTTTTATATAAAAGGTAGGTTTTCAGTTTACTGTCTGAAAATTTATCTATTTGTTTTTTCCAACAGCTAATAAACAATATTGATAGCTTGGTTTGTATATATTTCTTAAATTTGTATAAGGATTCACAAAATGGAGCATTTATGGCATTTGTATAGTCAATACCAAGTATTTTAAAAACAACATTTATTGAACCATACCATGATGTTATATTCATGTGATGTAGTGTCTTTGATTGTGTATATGCCTCTTTTAATAGAGGAAAATTATTACCTAAATTCTCTAATCTATACCAGTACAATAACATTCCTTTTATAATATTAAAATATATTGGAAATCTTCCAAGTTCAGATAACACTGCAGCATTTGTTGTTTTCTTGTGTACCCTAAGTATAAATTTACAAAATTTTATATGAAGTTTCTCACAGGGTAAACCTGAATATAATTTTTCAAAAGATATATCTTCCTTCTTACATTTAGAGGAAAGAGAATTAAACATCCCCCATATTTCGCTACCATATAATAAAATAGGTTTTACAGTGTGGTCAAAAACATGAATACTTGTTTTTACATCAGGATTAAGTGATAAAAGATCTTTCCTTAATTTGAAATGAGCTTTCAGGGATTTTTTGTATAGTTCATTTTGAGCATAACTGAATGAACCAGATGAGCTTAAATATAAACCTAGGTATTTGTATTTTGAAACACATTCCAGATTTATATTCTGAAATGTGAATATCTGTTTTACATGTCTGCCTGCCTTTTTGAAAATCAGCACCTTTGTCTTATTAGTATTCACATTGAGACACCAATCTTTGCAAAATTTATCAAGCATTCCCAGCTTTTCTCGTAGTCCTTCAGCTGATGTAGATAATAAAACAATATCATCAGCATACATTAAACAATGTAGATCTTTGTCATTGACATTAACTGGGTCTCTAGTATCTGACAAATATCTGGGCAAATCATTTATGAATATCTTGAATAAATCCGGACTGAGGTTGTCACCTTGTTTGACTCCAATATCTAATGGGAAAAAATCACTTACTTGATTTTGAATTTTGACACATGATTTGCTAATTTCATACATACTTTTAATAATTGTATAAAAATAAGACCCAGCCCCAATATCTAGTAGTTTAATCTTGATCCCTGTATGTATAACAGTATCAAAAGCCTTCTGAAAATCAACAAAACAGGCAAACAGTCTACCTTCTTTTGAATTACAGTATTTGTTAATAAGACAGTTTAAAATAAACATATGATCTGCAGTTCTGGCTTTCCTTGTGAATCCAATTTGACTATCATGTATAATATTATGTTCTTGAAGAAATTTGTCCAGTCTTAGACTTAATATTCTATTAAAAAGCTTTCCAATTGCACTTGTTATTGTTATTCCTCTATAATTGTTAGGGTCACTTGTATCGTTGCTTTTAAAAATTGGTGTAATATAACCTTCAGCCCAAGATGTTGGGTATATACCTGAAGACAGACAAGTATTAAACATCTGTTGAAAACTTTTTAAAAGGAAAGTCTGTCCATTCTTTATCATATTATTACTAATGTTGTCCAAGCCTGATGATTTATTGCATTTTAAGTGTGAAATGGCTTTGGATATTTCAGACTCAGTGATAACGGAGTCCAACTCGTTGAAACATTTTGAGTTTTCTAACTGTTTCAGTTTTTCACATAGCTCTGTATATCTACTTTGAAATTCACCTTTCAGTTGTGACAACTTTTGGAAATGTGATATCAAAGTTGATGGTTGTACTCCACATTTTTTTTGTGTTTCATTTTTTTCCTGTAGTTCATTAATTAAGTTCCAATACAGTTTTGGATTCTCTTCGTGCAAGGAGTCCAGCTGACTAATCAATGATTGTTTGTATTGTTTGTATTTATATTTCCTTAGTTTGGAGTATTCACGATTCAGTTTATAAAAGTGATTTTTGATAATTGGATCATATGGAAATCTTGAATAAATTTTTCCATAATTAAGCAAGTTAGTTCGAGCTTGTTGTAAACTTGCGTCAAACCACTTTTTGTTTTTTTGTTTGTTTGTGTGTTTTTTTAAAGGTCGTTTAAGTGATAGATTTGCTGCTGATAAAAAGATATTATAAGAAAGGGGTCATGTGTTATAGTTTTGAATGGTGTTAGCAATGGCACATATAGTCTAGTATTTTGTATTAAGATATAGACGCTATAGTATTGTATTATATTGTCTGTGGATTATTATTCTGTCGCGTGTGGTAAAATGTTAGTGTGTAGTTATGCGTTAATGCGTTATACACATAGTTTTATTTTGTCAATCGTATTTAGAATCTCGTTTTAGTTTTACTGATTTTATATAGCATGTTGCAATGATCAGGGATTTCAAAATTCTGACGGCAAACTGTGAAAATTATAGAGAAAGCATCCGATCTAGTTTGAAAGATAATTGAAACGTCAAATTCATAATTCTCTGTTTATTGTTACCTGCATGTCACGACCAGTTGTTAATATATTTTTTTCAATAAGTTAAAATATATCATCTTTGAAATATTGACTCAATCTATTTTCAGTAAAACTGCGCGAATACCATTCTGCCTTCAATACTTTTGAGAGAGCACTGGACCAAGCTCGCATGCAAGGTAAGAGAACAAAAACAAAATAGTTAGTAATTGCTCACATTGCTGCTTTTCTCTTGCCTGATTTTTTTCATTTTTTATGCCCCACCTACGATAGTAGTAGGGGCATTGTGTTTTCTGGTCTGTGCGTCCGTTCGTTCGTCCGTCCGTCCGTCTGTCCCACTTCAGGTTAAAGTTTTTGGTCAAGGTAGTTTTTGATGAAGTTGAAGTCCAATCAACTTGAAACATAGTACACATGTTCCCTATGATATGATCTTTCTAATTTTAATGCCAAATTAGAGTTTTGACCCCAATTTTACGGTCCACTGAACATAGAAAATGATAGTGCGAGTGGGGCATCCGTGTACTATGGACACATTCTTGTTTTTTTTCTTTTTTGCCAGATTTGTACGTCGAGCTCCTATCATACTCAGTTTGTTAGATTTTTCAAATTACCCAGATATTTTCTACTTTATTGGAATACAACTATTTCTCTTTGCATGCCATTCAGTTGTCATACATGGTTTCTTCAGTACCATATATGCTCCTATTAATCACTTTGACATACATTCCTAATGTTATCTTCATTTTAAACCAAAAATTTGAGAAGAAACGCATGTCGATTCCTTTATGAATTCCCTCATTTTTATTTGGAGTGAATAAAACATAGAAGTCAGGGGAAATTCGTGATTTTGATAAGTTATCATTTGAACCCTATGGGTTAATTTATATTCAAAAAGTCACAAACTTTGGCACATACCACTTTCTGAAAGGGAGCTTAAACAGGACATATGGTCCTCAGAGAATGAACTGAAAATGCTAACGTGAATATAGGACGACCAGATCGGGTCATCTGAAACAATTCTCAACATAATTGCAATAGGACTGAATAAGGTAAATTACTTAACTATTTTATAGAAGACGGATGGCAAATATTTGCGACGACAGATGTTCACTCAAAATGTCAACGATCAGAAAGTGAAAAATTCTAAAGTACAAATACAAATTTGCACAGCATAGTTACACAAACATTGAAAATAAGCAAAAACAAGACACCATACCTAGGAAAATTCCCATTAAAGAGGATCATACTGATGGTACCGTCAGCGAGCCATGTTATGCCACACATACATTGCTCCTCAATTTTTGTTTGCCGTCGAATATTCATACGTATGTTTGAGAACTGGAAAGGCATATGCATAATAGAAAAAAAGTGTGTAATACATTTGTTAAATGTATATAAATATCTTAGAGGACAAGTTTTTTTTATGTAAAGTAACTAGGCTTAACATATAAGAAGTAAGGAACATATTTGAGTGCATTTTGAATTTACCTATAGCTAATTTTACATATGTAATTTTTTTAGTTTTATCGTGTTTATTTTAAGCCATAATCATCAATAGTTATAAATACGGCGATCAGTAACTGTAATACAGTTTTAACAATTGTTTTCAGGAGACACAAAGGCAGAAGGTGCCATCAGGGAAGCGTTGCAGGATGTAAACCTCCGAATTGTAGAAGAAATGAAGCGAAATCAGCAGGAATTCATGTCCAGAAACAGGGCCGATTATGCAAAGTCACGTGCTGAAATGTCCGATTATTCCAGTATTTACATACCGGAAGACGATGGTGACGTATCACTTACAGAGACAGGATATGATACTGACAATTTACATTTGGACTTGGACCAAATGCGAAGTGAGATGGAGACCTCTATGTTTGGTTCTGTTGCAAATCTAAGATCAGAAAGAACTTCTCGGAACGAAATGGGGTCCATGTTGAATTTGAATACAATGGGGAGGTCATCTATTGTACCAAGTGCATATAACATTCTGCGCAGCAATACCGCAATGGGATGATTCTAAAAGGCCATATGTTTTGTCTTCACGCAACATTATACATATATATATTATACATTATACACTGTTTTATATAAACTGTGTAAAACATTTGTTTGATCTGCTCATCGTTTCACTGTTACATTGTTAAATTGTGCCAATATTTTTCCTGTTCGATATTTCAAAACTCATTTTCGTTTCGGAGTTTTGAAGAATATCATAAAAGCAGAATCTAGTGGTCGCCATATTGATTTCTGAGTTTATTTCTACTTTGAATCTGTTAACTTTTCGATAGCAAAGTAGATGTAAAATCCTCAGAATATTTGTGATGAATAAATTATAATATTTCCTTTTATCGAGTGTCATTAACTTTCGTTTCGAATTTCGGTTATCAATGACATGGTCCATTATGATTGATTTTTTTATATTTGTACCTATCAATTACGCAGCAATTTGTGTCATTTGTTATGTTATATTCTTTTACTTGTTAAATGTGTAATGCCTGTGATATATGTTTTAAAAAATGTTCAAACATTTTGTATTCTTACGTTTTAAGCACTTTCTAATGACTATTTTTATGATGCTGAAATCAAGTTCGCACACTTAAACTTACTAGAGATACATTTGTAATCATCATCGTGTTTTAACATAAATTGCAGTTAAAGAAAGGAAAAGTATACACGTCATGGTTAAAATGTACTATTTATGATCTCAGTTTTGACCAATAGTTTCGATTCTGTATTACTTTTCGTTTCGTAAAAAAAGTTTTAGTTGTCCACTTCTATCATTATCTATTTTTTTAAACATGTTTTACCAAAACACATTCGGCATGTACATGCATTAAATGGCTTGCTTTTGTTTATTTTGATTTTGTTTCAATATTTATCAATTTTGGTAATAATGCATCTTCAATTATGTAAAATGTAAGTAGATAATATGTGTAATACTCAAGTCTCAATTTATTAAAGCGTGCAAAAGTAAATTTCTTAATACACCCTTACATTTCAATGGGTAAACTCAAACTAGAAGGACAATGGTAAACTTTTGTAATACTCTGAGACTATTGGTTGCACTTAACAGGAAGTTGTATCGTATCATTATATTTTAATTGTTTCAATAAAATATAAGTTATTACTAAAGCATGTTTTCATTTATAACCATACCCCGCTATTATATTTGAATACGTGACTTTTTTGTTGTTGTGATACTAAGCGTCAATTTGTGTATGGATTGTCTAACTTAGATCTTTACTTGCATATGCATGACTATGGACAATAGTTACAAGATTGCAATATATCCTACATCTACGTTGTATTAGCCTGTTTCTTACTATATGATTGAGCCGACTAAAAAAAAGAAGATATTTGGAGTGCATGTCGATGTGAGCAACCCGCACACAATAAAACCAAAATAGAAAAGGGGGAGTGTTGGCGCCTTCAAACATGTTTAACCCCGCCACATTCTGCATGTGTCTGTCCCAAGTCAGGAACCTGTTATTTCTGTGGTTGTCGTTTGTTGCTGTATGTCACGTTATGTTTTTCGTTCATTGTTTTGTACATAAATCATGCCGTTAGTTTTCTCGTTTGAATTGTTTTACATTTGTCATTTCGGGGCCTTTTATAGCTGACTATGCGGTATGGGTTTTGCTCATTGTTGAATGCCATACAGTAGTTAACTATATAGTTATTAGCTCCTATGTCATTTGGTCACTGGTTGATAGTTGTCTCATTGGCAATCATACCAGATCTTTTTATCTTATAAAAACACAGGTTTTTCAACAACACAACAGTTATATTCGCGTTTAATATTCTTCGTCTCTTTCCCCACAACCACTGGATTGATGCAAGGTGCATTGAATGGGGAGTTTTTAGTATTTAGATTTAAGCAGTACTAGTATCAAATATCAAAATGGAGGGATCGAGACGGTTTAGCCACACCAAAACAAAACTTCACATTTCAATTGAATGTGTACTGATTGATATTTTAGTCTTGTATTCGTATTTTTTTATTATTTGTTATTGGCTTTGAGTTAACTTCCAGTAACTGCTATTACTCTCAGCTCGGTATTGGTGTCTTAAGTATTTGTATTGGTTGTTTCTGTGTCAAACTGACGATGTAAGGCTTTTCAACTGATTTGTATAGTTTGTTCCTATGTTGTTCTTATGTTGTGCTGTTACACATATGTCCGACGTTAGGGGTAGGGTCTGGCGCCCGCAAACATATTCAACTCGGCCTCATTATGTAAGGTATATTCCTGTCCCAAATCAAGAGCCTATTATTCAGTGGTGGTCGTTTCTTGTTGTACATCATATTTGTTTTTCGTTTATTGTTTTGTATATATAAATCAGGCCGTTAGTTTTCGCGTTTGAATTGTTTTTCATTTGCCATGTTAGGGTTTTTATAGACTGCTAACTTATAATTCATTTGGTCTCTGGTGGAAAGATGTCTCTTTGGCAATAACACCACATTTTCTAATTTTATATCAATCTTTTCATGTGATGATAAGATCTGCTAGAAGAAAGGTACATATGAATCCCATAGGAATGCCGACTATCTGTTGAAAAACACATCCTCTAAGCTAATAGAAATACATGTATTGTCATTCAAACAATCATAAATCTCTTCATAAGGTCAATTTCAGAGAACATTTTTTTCGAATCAGTGTTTTAAGAAGGCATGATTTGTTATAAACCAAGATATGTGCATCTCCATTGAACTTTTTTTAATGGTATTATCAATCGAACAATTTTCTAACGGCAAACATATATTCGTTTAACGTTCAATACTTATTTTCACCTTACATTTCATGCAACTGGAAAATAATCCAACCTATATTTCCGTCAGTGATATAGTAACAAACACTAATTTTTCAATTAAATAATTCCAATAATGAAAATTAAAAAAAAACACAGCACAATCGATATTTTGATATTAAACTTTACGAGGAAATCATTTTATAATAAAAGAACCTAATCTTCAATAAAGTCAATGTACCGTCAAGCGGATTTTTAATTCATTTCAGTTAAGATAGGACAACTGAACGGGGTCAATATTTGTTAATTAACCAGTTTCATGTGCATAGGAACGACTATTGTATATTTTGATTAAAAACAATGTCTTTCTTTCCATGTAATTTAGTATCAAGCGCAACTTAAAACTCAAAGTTGACCTTAGATGGGTTCGGCTACTATTTAGGTCCTTTTTGGTTATATAGCTCTTCAACTGTTTCGGTTCTTATACATACTTGGCTTTCAAATATTTGGCTGTGATCGTTCCTAGTGAAGGTAAATCCAGAAAAACGCTTCGGACGCATGAAATTAATAATGTGTTGTTTTTATTTTTTTTAAGAGACTACAATGCCGGGTAGTACATATACCATATATCAAGTGACATTGACTTTTGACCTTGATATCATATAGACTACATCCCCGAATGGCGATTACTCTACCAATTTTAGTGATAATGGATGGAATTTGTAAGCTATGCTGTGCTTGCAATGTCTTTGATAGCTGCTTGGATACTGACATATAAGAGAAACTCGTTACTTAACCAATTCCAATGTTCTTGTCGAGGGGCGACAAACAAAAATACAACTTGAAAATGTACCGTTATCATCTGTTGCTTTTAGGTGCTACAAAGTCGTACTATCATCCAATAAAGACATGTGTAACTAGTTAATTAAATTCTCGACCATTTCCAGTTTAAGAATGCAAAATTTTAATATTGAAAGACGTTAGATATATTTTATTTGAAGTAAATGTATTTCAAGTTGTTAGACCCTCGCCTTGTCTGTCTATTTTAAGAAGTTTTTCCTCCTTTCTTGATGAGATTTATTTTCATATGAATATACTAAGAATACTGATGAAGAATGCCAGATAGAGTTAAGAGTACTTGGTCTCTTTAACAATGGTTTAAGTACATTACATATTGATGAAGATAAGACAAGCAATTTGTCAATATTTGGTGTCAAATTATCCCCAACCACTTATATTGATACATTGTGAATAAATGGTTTTCATTTGTATTCGTCTGCATTGGAATTATATGACAAAAAGCAATTATTTCAGAAAGGTAGTAGCAATAAGGTCTAATAAAACAGTTAACATTTAGTATCAAGTAAACATAACTATAAGGTATGAAACTATAAAGTATTTGTGCCATCTATGTAATTACAGCAGTAAATTGCTATGAAAGGGAAATAACCGGAAACATTCTTTGTTATATACAGTAACAGACGAGAAATACTGTACAATAACTGGTTAATTTAAACATATGTATATATTTTCCATTTCGTTTGTTATTGGTTGCATTTTCCTTAATTTTGCCATTTTATCTTTTAAGAATTAATGTGCAACTTTTGGTTAGAAAACGGAGAGGAATATTGGGTTCATAAAAATTTGTTTACTTCCGGCACATGTTAAAGTGATTTTCCAAGTAACACAGTGTAAGGAGCCTCGTTCGTGGTTGTGTTTGTTGATATATTTTAAAAGTGTTTTTTGTTTGTGTTTGTGGCAGATAATAAACAATATATGCTTGTTTCACAACTTTATTAGACTGGGGACGATTTAGAGATTGAAATATGGTATAGACACTTGTCTCATGTTGAAGATTCCATATTGCCATTTTAAAAATGTATGTTCTCTCTCGGACGTTTTAGAGTTGACATATAATATAGACACTTTATCCTAAGCATTGCACTTTAAATGATACAGTACTGCTTTCTTTCTCAAATGGCGAAACCATCTCCTACATTAGAATACAAAAGTAAACTTAGCCTAATTTATCATGACTGAAAATAAATCGGCAATCTTTAAATTAATAAGTTAAACATATTTACTGCACCAGATGCGTATTTCGACGAATCACGTTTCGTCAGTATTGTTCGAGGCTAAATTATTTGAAAATCAAAATCCGAATAGAGTATATGAAGAGCTCATAAAACTAAATAGGACCAAAACTAGAGCCAAACCATGCAGGAAAGGAAAACAGAGCTATGCCTGAGGATGATAAATTCCTTAATTTGATATGATTTCCCAAACTTTATAACAGCAAATTAAAAAAAAAATCAATATCCGCAATGTCATGCAAGTGCAGAAGAACTGGCTACTCGGCTGGTGTACACTCGGGGACTAACAGCTCACCAACAGAGGTTTCGATCGAGTGTAAGTAATAACATTAACGGTTCGAATAACTCATCATAGATACCAGGATTAAAATTGTGTATGCCAGACGCGCGTTTCGTCTACAAAAGACTCATCAGTGACGCTCGGGTCAAAAAAGTTAAAAAAGCCAAATAAAGTACGAAGTTGAAGAGCATTGAGGACCTAAAATTCCGAATTCCGAGTCTTTTGCTCGAAGCCAACATATTTGAAGGTCCAAAACCTAAACGAAATTTTTAAGAGCTGATCAAACAAAAAGTAAAGATAACCGGAGAATATTAAATTCTGAAATAGATAGACCCTTCCATCATATTTTCAATCGACTTTTGTATCAATAAAGTGGTAATAATCAATAACGCAATCTGAATAAAATTGAAATCTATCACAACTCGCGTGCTCATATAAGAGGATATTGAAATAAGAGATCTATATTTTAATTAGATTGACAATTACTCATTGTTCAGGACGATAATTTCAAACACAATGAAAGCTGTAGAATTCAATATCTATTAACCTTTTCAATTATAGCCTTTTCTGAAGAAATGACTCGTTTTCCATGAAAAAAAAGAAAAGCATTACAAAATATATCGAGTTTTCTGAACATTAAAAAAAAAATTAGAAAAAAGATTAAAAATCCCAAGTTAAGTCACTCCTGGCATTCAAAACTAATCCAGAAGTTTATTATTTATTCCTTATTTTTAAAGTGTCTTTCTTTAACATTTCTTACAGTCATTGTGGCCTGCCATACATTTATTGGATAAAAAAACAACTGCATAAGTCTCCTCACTAACAACTTTATATCGAGTGTTTCTCTAATCCTCAAAACTGTAAATTCTATTCTAATGACTTGCTAAGTGGTGAAAATCATACTTAAGAAAAATAGCGGGGTTTCAATACAAAGGGAAATCAAAATCACCTGTCAAAGATAGCCAGACAACACAAGAGGGTGTGGATTGAGGTTTAGAAAATAAAGAATAATGGGCAAAATATATAAAAAATAGAGAAAAATGGACCAAAAGAATTAAGAATAGAGAAAAATGGACAAAAAATAAAGAATAGAGAATAATGAGGTGATAAAATATTAAGAATAGAGAATAATGGGCAAAAAGTATAAAGAAAAATGGCATAAAAATTAAAGTATAAAGGAGCCCCCATCCAGACCCTCACACAAGGGCCATTAAAAAGGATGAAAAATATACAATAATGACAACCTATACACTGAAACCTTATCTTTGACAGTCTATGTTTATGTTATGTGTAACTCTTTTTAGAAACATAGTAATTAAGAGCTAGAGATATTGTATAAACACCAGTTCTATGATACAAACACCAGTTCTAGATATAAACACCAGTTCTATGATATCTGTTGTTTTAGATTTAGGTAACCATTCCGAAGTACCTGAAATCAAACCTACTTTCAATAAGTTTTTAACTTTTATTAACTTAAAAGCTATATTTTTTATGTTTGTAGATCTGCGTACTCTTCTGTTCTTGTTCTCCTCAAGATTAAGTTTGTCATCTTCCAAATATTTTTTTTTTAAATCCAATGTTCTCCTCTTAAACAATTCACTCAATGATGTTGATCTGAAATCGATACTTTTTTTTTTATCTTTGCTATAGTGTCTAAACACATGTCTGTTGTTAAATACCGTGTTGACCTCATGGATTTTATGCTTTCGAACATCCTTAGCTACCAACTCAGTTCTACTTCTAGGACAGAAGCTCATAAAACTCGGCAAACGCAGGACCTCGGGAAAGTGTGGAGATTCGGCGACGACCTTACTTCTGAAGTTGCCTTAGCTACTGTCACAGCTGTATTTCGGATTAAATTTCATACAGCATCGTCATAAAACAGTACAGGAAGACATGATCTTTCAATTGTCCTAAGTAAATTTGTACAGCACTTCAATAAAGGAAAAGTTAAAAAGAAACGTGTTTTCTTGACTCAAACTATATATAAACAAATTGTTAAAAATCTATAATTAAATACACAATGATTTAACAAAAACATCAAATTACAAAATTTATCAATTCAATCTAGAAACAAATATTGGAACGACAATTTCTTAACTGGTTTTGGTTTATAAATAACATTGTCTTTAAAAGCTGAATGTGAAATATCATGTTTTAAAAGTTATTTTGAACAGATATATCATGTTAAGGAGGGGTATTTGCGAAAAATACCAGTCGAGAGAATGTTAAATTTCGCAAGCCGTAAGGCGAGGGAAATTCATTCTCAAGACTGGTATTTTTCGCAAATACCCCTCAAGAACATGCTATATCTGTTTAATTACACCGAATGTTAGCGTTCAAAAACGCATTGATGATCGTGACGTTACAAGCGTCCAGTCGGATAGAGTATTTTTTGGCAAATACCACGGCAGAGAGGGTAAAAAAGGCATATCCTTTTTGCATATACCCTGGCGGCGTTAAAAATGAACGATATTCAATTGATAACAGTAAATTGGTGAAAAATACACTGGCTATCAACCAATCAAAACCCAGGATTCTTACATAAGGTGTAATTACAACAGGAATCATACGTCAACAATTTGTGATGAAATTCGTATAAGGCTTGGCCATTTTTATACATCTATAAACGTTCTGAAAATGGTTACAATTTTTAGAATATTTTGTATAATTGTAAAAAAAATCCCACTATGTATTGACATTCTCTGAGTCATTCTAAGTAAAAAAAATTAAATATTTATTTACATTTTTATTGCACTGATTATTATAACAGAATAGACCTCAACTCTACAAAACAAAACAAAATGTGTAGAAAAAACCCTCCATTGTAAAATGTATTTAACTAATTAGTGTAATACTACACTTTTCAAAACCATTTCACGAACATGTATTTATAAACGTAGATAATCTCTTTATTACATTTTATAATAATAATTACCGTTTTCCTTAATAATCTTGCATACATGATACAATATTTCTGTTTACAATTGAAGTTATAGTTTTAAGTCTCGTTGCGTCTTTGTCCTGTCTCTTTAATGCATTACATAGATTTTTAATATTCTTCGTCTTAATAATTTTCCATAATTCCTTGTCTGCATTTTTCATCTTAGAATCAGGTTTACTTTGCTAAATGTATTTAACTAATTAATGTAATACTACCCTTTTCAAAACCATTTCACGAACATCTATTTATAAACGAACATAATCTCTTTATATTTTATAATAATAATTACCGTTTTCCTTAATAATCTTGCATACATGATACAATATTTCTGTTTACAATTGAAGTTATATTTTTAAGTCTCGTTGCGTCTTTGTCCTGTCTCTTTAATGCATAACAGAAATTTTTGATATTCTTCGTCTTAAAGATTTTCCATAATTCCTTGTCTGTATTTTTTATCTTAGAATCAGGTTTACTTTGCTAAATGTTCAATTGTAAATTGACCAATGACAGACACTTCAAAGAGAGAAAACAATTGTATTTGTTAATGAACTTTACACGCAAACACGTATTTTGAATAGCAGAAGTAAAACGTATGTGTAAATAATAGAACAAACAATTATCAATAATAACTGATAGTACAATTGTGATGTTAGCATTGAAATTTATTATTAATTTGACTTGAGCATCCAATATTTAGTCAGAAAAAATTTTCTTTTGAAGAAAAATATATAACATCCTGGAACTAGAAGAAAAAAAGATATAACGTAAAAGATTTATAAATGTGAGCACCAAGTGCGAGTTTTGTTTCGGTTATAACTCACCCGGTCCCGTACCGTTTGGTGTTCATTCGATTCTCCAACTTTCTCTTTGGCTGCATGTTACAAATGAATTTACAAGGTTAAACAATCTGTAAAGTGATGTAACATCCCACTTTCGCGCAAAGATTAATTATTGCTGTAGATAAAACTATCTGTCTTTCATGCATAGTTATACACTATGTACATTTGACTCAGTAGGAAGAGGTATTTCAAATTTATTATTTTCATGAACATTTATGACCAGTAGACATCAATCTAAGGCTCTTTCATTAAATTTCTTTTCATCGGATCTTAGATAATATAAAAAAAGTAATTCCTCATAGTGTTTCTATATATAAACGTTGACCTCTTCTGGTACCCTTTTTGGATATTTTTTAAAACTTAAAAACATTTGTTACAGACATTCACAAGAAGATCTATACGTTCCGTTTCGATTGGATCATTGGTTCTTGAGAAGAACCAATAAGATAAGAGAATCAAACCCTGCTTGGCCCCGGATAAAGTAAAGAACAATGGACAGAAGACAGCCGCAAACTGATGACAAACGATCACATGACCTTCTGCTAAATGAGCTGAAAAGGAATCACAAATGTATGTACAAACTTTAAGCTTTAGCAGTACATGATGTATGTTATTTGTCCTTTACAGATTTTTGGTAATCTGAATTTTATAAATTTTTTGGTAAAATTTCTATTTGATGGCGGTTGGTATCATATGTGAGACAGTCATAATTCAAAAAAAGGGCCACAAATGTAATGTGCTCAAAATTTCTTAGCAGCTAGTTCTTGACTTTCAAATGATTAGGTTTGAACGTTCCTGGTGCAGCGATTCGGAGCAGCAAGCAATGTATAAAGTGTTTATTTTCATTTACAGTTATTTCAACGATTTTTATACTAGAAATATATTATTTTATTCTATGGGTTAATTTTGGTACTGTCAACCATATGTATTGGTCATCGGAAACACAAAACACATTTTTTAATCTCCAAATTTAATATAAAAATAACGTAAGCATTTTTAAAAATTTTCCCAGAAACGACATGTAGGAGATTTTTGTTTTTCAAATAAATAACAGACGGACGGACAAATAGCGAACACGAAAATGCAACAAGTCATCAATCTGGCGAAAAGTTGAAAACCATGTAACATAAAGCATAGAGAAGTTTTGATGGGGATGACACACTTTTGGGATGTGGAATAAAAGGTGTAAAAAAGTGGGGATGGGGAATATAAGGGGTAAAAAAAAGTGGGGATGTGGAATATAAGGGGTAAAAAAGTTGGGATGTGGAATATAAGGGGTAAAAAAGTGGGGATGTGGAATATAAGAGGTATAAAAGTGGGGATGTGGAATATGAGGGGTAAAAAAGTGGGGATGTTGAATATAAGGGATAAAAAAGTGGGGATGTGGAATATAAGGGGTTTAAAAGTAGGGATGTGGGTTATTGGAGGTAATTTTACTAAAAAACGTGGGATCTTGGAAATATAAGGAATGGAAGTGGTGAAAAAGTACAAAAAGCGGGAAATGAGCACCCCCGTGTCACCCCTCAGCTTTGTTTTCTGTCACGATACTTGATCTCCTTGTTTTTATTACATTTTGCACCATGGTCACTGAATATTTGAGTTAAACTCGTTAACGAGGGAGATGAAAAGTAAAAAAAATATAAAAACCATAAAGTTTGCCAATATATATATACACGTTGTTAGATGTTCGGAACTGAAATTCACAATAACATTCTCATTATTTAAGTATTTTTCAATAGATAATGATTAATGCATATTGATGTGTATCTGATTTTAACAGCTTTTGATATATTTACAGTCGACATAACAGTACTCTATGAGTCTAATCTATAGGAAAATAAAAAGGTTTATCAAGTTCGGTAAGAATACAGTTTGTCATAAGCTTGAATGAACTGAATGCTTCTATAACAGTGGTTTATCTGTTAAATATATTTAAGGTACCTTACGACTTAGTATTAATACTATGATAACTGTATCCATTAGTTTTGTTTTCTTCGATCATGCTTCAACAGTTTGCGAAAAACAAAACCATCTATTACACATTAATAAAACTCAACCTATCTAAAAATATTGGCAATCACATCGCATGGTTATCAATTATTTATATTTCTTATCATATTTTCGGTTGACTAATCACCAACGCAACGCTTTGCATAGCATCGTTCGTAGAATAATGCCGTTTGATCCCCTGAGAAACGACTAGTTACATTCCTTTACAGTTTTGTCCTCTGTCAACTTAACGTCGTGTTGAAATCTGTTATATCTATTGACTGTTTTGGTCCAGGCGTTGACTTGTGGATTTTATTTCGCAGGAATTCATTGGAGTTTCTCACTGAAAGAGAGAAAAAACATTTAAAAAGCCTGTAATTACTCCGAGGAGTATCAAAGAACTAAACATGGTTTTATTATCTTAGTATATCTTGTTATGTAAGTTAGTAAATGAAGTAAGTAAGTATTTTCTTTTTATTACAGTGACATGTGTAATGACAATTTAACTAAATACAAATGTGCTACAAAAACAATAAAGTACACCTGACCCTTTGGGTCTATAAGTCACTTTCAAAATCATAAAACGTATTTATTTTATCACTGATTTTCAAACAAAATAATGAAAAAAGTTTAAGCTTAATTCAAAATAAGTAATTCATAATGAAAAATAGATCAAGATGAAAAAATTAAAAGCTTAATTCAATGTCCTGGTAAATAAATAATACATTAATAATCATAATAAAGAATCGGAAAATATTCGGATTATTTATTTAGTAACTTTTTTACATTTTAATACTACAGGCAAACACACTCTTTACTGTCAACTAAATTATCAAAATTGTGTATCTCAAGTCTTTGGTGAAACCATGTCAAAGTCTGTCCTGAACATAGGATAACCAAAGACCAAGAAAAAAAAAGCTGATCAGATCGTTTTGAAATGAAATAATAAAGAATACATATTCATTGTGATAAACTATGAAAAAATAGATCTAAAACAATAACAAAATGTATCTGTTTAGTCAAACAAATGGTCACACGTTCAGAATTGAATCATTTACTTTTAATTTGAGATCTAGGTATAATATAACAAACAGACAGCAACTTTTGTATCAACCCAAACTTTACAGTTCATCGGTGTCAATATAAAATTTCAAATTAAACAGGCAGAGACTGTTCATGTTATAATATTGTCTCTGATTTTAAATGCAGTAAAATGTATTTTCCTAAATAAGTTAACTGTTTGATGTTATTTATACTCAAAAGTTGAATAAATTTAAAACACTTCCCATACACTAGTAAAATTCTTTATGTATTTTGCTCTAAGTTCCTTCTATTTTGGAAACACTAAGATAAAATTGAATTCGTCTTCAATACTGTTAGGAACGTTTCAGTTGTTTTCATTTTTCAGCAATATTCACTCTTTCCTTTGTTCTTTAATCTACAATTTTCAAAACTATTTATACCCGAAATAGACAATTTCTGTTTTTTTACCCGATAAAAAGTTGACAGAACGGAAATAAAATGCTTCTACTTATTACATAGTGTGTCGATAAAAAACTTATTGCTGCCTGGATTAAGCAAGAAGAATTCTTATCTTTGCTGAACAGTCATTGTTTACAAACTTTGGAATTACAATTCGAAAGTGAATGGTACAGTTATTCACTGTAAGAAGACTTTAACTGAATGCTATGTTATTAACACTTAAATTTGTAAAACCACCTACATCTTTATTTGTGTAAGCTTATATGTGGAACTTTGCTGTAGTCTGTTGAAAGGGGTCTTCATATGAAAACCATCATACCATTAAATATGATGGATGCATGACTGAATGTTTTACGTCCAGTGGCAAATTAAATGCATACTAAAGACGAGAACATGATAATGTGACATAAATATAGGTCCTGCTTTGTACTAGACTGACACGCTAAGTCGGATGATTAATGTGTTAGTTCACAAGGTAACAGAAAATCTGCAAGAATACATGGCAATTCCATAAAATATGTACTTTATACAACTACATATGTAACCATTTCATTCCATTCATCTCATTGTTTTTGTATATATGTTATTGTTGTTATTACTGTTTATATTCACATACTCCTAAATACCACGTGCTAAGCGGAGAAGCAGTAAATGCCAATTTCAATTTAAAATTTGGTTTGACCTGGCAGTGGATCGAACTCACGACCCCCTGCACTCGAGGCGAGTATGCTACCACGAGACCATCGAGGCGGTTCCGTTAAGTATGAGAATATGTCTGTCGCATTCTAAGATGAGATACACTGTTTTTTTTTAATTTTATCGTTTACAGTGAATTGAGCTGTAATGTGTTTCCAAGAGCTTTGTCATTGGTTTTTTTTCTACGAGTCAGATTTTGACAATCGATACAGAATGTTGAATTAAATTACGTATTGTCTAACTCGATGTCTTAAATGACGAGAAGGTTTCTTGCTTCTTGCACTCTTGAGTACATATCACATGATCTACTTGCCATATCGTAAAATATCTGTTTTCAATCGAAGGACAACCAGCTCATTATTATTGTTTGAATTTTCATTCCATATATATATATATACATGTCTTTTTTATTTCATGTTTTTTTCTTATGCACGACACAGTTCTGAAGCACCTGTTAGGACGTTCGAGTTTTCCTGTTTTGGGCCTATTGCTTTTGTATGCTCTTAAACGTTTTATATTTTTAGACTTTTCAAAATTTTATTTATACTGTTGATGATATTTATTCAAGAAACATGTGTTTTTTGCACGAAAATAATGATTTTGTGGTCACTTTTATTTGCGGGGACATTGAAGTCATGTCAAATTGTTCTATGAAGCTCATCTTAAAATTGTAAGTTTAACCAAACACCAAACAAGTTATAATATACTTTAAAAACCCATTTTATACAATTCATTAAAGCCAGTAGAATAGAAAGAAAGGTACGGTATATCAAGGACGTATGTTAGTTATACGTCCTTGGGTATATATATATAAACAAATATTATCCTTCCAAGCTTAAGCCTTTGTTAGTCATTGAACTAGTATACATTTTTGTTTAGGGGCCAGCTGAAGCCCGCCTCCGGGTGCGGGATTTTCTCGCTGTGTTGAAGACCCATTGGTGGCCTTCGGCTGTTTTCTGCTCTTTGGTCGGGTTGTTGTCTCTTTGACACATTCCCCATTTCCATTCTCAATTTTATTAATGCACCAATTCATATGAAATGGAAACTTTTCAATAATTTCATATAAAACGGAAACATATCAGTAAGTCTCTGTGTCTTCTACAGAACGTTCGATATCATTTTAATTTAAAATTTCATTTCTCATTTTATACTAGTGTTATTATGATTTTTCGAATGCTTGTTGGAGAAGACGAGATAACATCATTTCATAGAACAGCCAGTATGATATATAATTGATAAAGTTATTAAAGGGTCGTTAAACGAAGCAATAACTCCAACATAGATAAACACAAAAGTTATTCACTTGGAATGTTTTAGCAGAATAGAACTGATAATATCAGAAAATATATGAACTTTACGTTTTATAGTACAACATTTATGAAAATTGAGGTATTATAACAAAATATTAATGTAGTGTATTTGTTTCATGCAAAAATATGACACCGTCAAACAATAAACACCACAAGTTATAACTTAGAATGATTTTTAATATAATGGAGATGTTGGGTATTTGCCAATAAGACACAACAAACTAAACATAGTCCTTCTTTACTATGACGGTATATATTATTTTTTATTATACTTCATGTCAAAATGCCAGATTTTGATTGGTTGATACGAGGGAGACAATTTACTCTATCCTATGGTAATACTCTATTACCCTTCACGGAGACGCTTGCTCAAGTGTGCGCTTTAATAAATACGGATGTCATATTTGTTTTTCGTTTATTATTTTGTCATAATTCAGGCCGTTTGTTTTTTTCTCTTGAATTGGTTAATATCTTGTCATTTCGGGACTTTATAGCTGACTATATGTTATGGGTTTTGCTCATTGTTGAAGGCCGAACGGTGACCTATTATAGTTGCTTAAATCCGCTTACTATAGATTCTGTTGGATAGTTGTCTCATTGGCAATCATACCACATCTCTTTATTCTAATTTTAAACATCCCTAGCGATAGACAAAAGCATAAAGAAAAAAAATTTTCTATAGAAATTCTAATCAAGCTACAAAGGTAACCCGTCGTTTCACGCCAAACCTATAATTGTGCCATAAACGTCGTCTGAAGAAAAAAAAACGCACAAAAAACAGGATGTTTTTGAGATCTACAATGTATGTTGATTAAAAAAAAGTTTTTCGGAAACAATACCGGAATATATCATATGAACACTCCACTATTTTTTTCAAGAGATTCTTTCATATTATGCAAATAAGCAATATCATTAATCAATTTTCAATACGCAAAAATAATCAGGCAAATTCCAAGCGTGGTCCCATTTAAGAGTATTGAAAGATCACGGATTGTTCAGATTGATTGATCATATCTGGTGTCTAAAGAAATGAATCACCAAAGAAGAAAAAAATCCCACAAAACATTTGATCTGTCAATGTGTCTTCATATCATGTTATAAGAATAATCTTATATAAAAGGTATAACAAATGTCAAGCTTATATTACAAATGCTACATGAGAAATTACTGTCATGCGAGGTAAAATTCGAAAGAAGAAAAACGTTATTGTGAAGAAGGACCAAAGATCATCTGAACAAAACGACAAAAACTGCTTACACTCTTTTATATATACCGAGTACAGACATTTTTTTTTATCTGGCAAAAACAAGAAAAGTAACTCTTCTTGCTATTGATGATGATGATGGATGGCTGCTTAACGTTCGGTGGCAAATTAATATGCATATTCAGGAAGAGAACATGTTAATGTAATTTGAATATTAACCCTGCTTTGTACTAGACAGACATCCTGAGCCGGATTTTTAACGTGCTATTTCAAAAGATAACACTCCGCAAGAAGACATATCACCTTACCCGGACACCGGACCTACCAGTCTTTGCTCCTACTCCTTAATGCCGCGTGCTTAGCGGAGAAGCAGCAACTACCAATTTTAAAGTCTTTGGTTTGACCCAGCCAGTGTTCGAACCCACCACCTCCCGTACTCGAGGTGAACACGCTACCACGAGACCACCGAGGCGGTCTCTTGCTATTGAGGTGATAAGTCAATAGTTTGTTTATTTTAATAATCAAGCTGATTAAAAGTAACTATTAAAACACAGTCATTTGTGTGTTAATTTACGTATTTTGATTGAGTTAAGCCTTCCAATTGATATTTTATAGTGTGTTTTTCTATGTTGTGATGTTATACTATTGTTT